AGCAGCAGAGGGAGAGGGAGAAGCAGGCTCCCCGCAGAGCAGGGAGCCCGATGTGGGACTCGATCCCAGGACCCTGGGATCATGACCTGAGCCGAAGGTAGTCGCTCAACCGACTGAGCCACCCAGGCGCCCTAGTTTCACTTCTGATAACATTGTCTGATTGTAATTACAGTTAAGACTGTTAGTTTTAAGCATTTGAAGATCAGAATTGGCTTTGTGGTCAATTTGCTATCTCTGTGCTGCTTGTATAAGTGATTTCCAAGCACTGTTTCTAACCTAGACAAATTATCATGGCCTAATATTTGAGAGTTGTTAGATCCTTATAATGAATTATTGTTTCCCTTATAAATACAGTATCACTTGTTTTTATACATTCACTAAGCTTGTCTCCAGACTATACATACTGTTGGAAACTAAAAGGAAAGACAGAGACAATTGAATCTTAGTAATAGGAGTCTCAGGAAAGCCAAGAATGGGAATGCAACTGGGGCTTCAAGAAAGATGGGGAGAAGTAGGCGCCAGAAACCCCCAGGGAACCCATGTAGCATATGTTCTCTATCTCCTATCTCTGCTTCCCTGTGTATCTTTTAAAATCTTGCTGACTGGCTCACGTGCTCCTCGGCTCACTTGATGGCATATGGTCTGAGTTTCCTTGTTTATGGTCTAACTGCAGGGAGAGACATCTCTTATTACTCTCAATTCCAGATTCCTGGAGCAGGGACCATGGCCTGGTTTGGGTTAGATGCCTACCCCTGGTCAGGCCTGGGGCGGGGTTACAGAGTGGCTACAGGGGACCAACTCTTTGCATATGTGTATGCGCACACGTGTGTGATGGTGAGCTCAGTACACCCTACAAAGAGCAGCACTACATTCCTCTAGGTATATGGTAAGAGCAATAGCATTATTAGATTACTGTCATACCCCATTTCTGAAAATTAGGAGGAGGAGGGATGATAAGAGTTGGTTGAGTCATAACTTCATAAGGAAAAAGAGCCCTGTTGTACCTAAGGTATTTTGATGTATTATTTCATTTTCTTTATAACAGGTTAGTGGTTACTTGGATGATTGTACCTGTGATGTTGAAACCATCGATAGATTTAATAACTACAGGCTTTTCCCGAGACTACAAAAACTTCTTGAAAGCGACTACTTTAGATATTACAAGGTATTTTTATTTTTAATTTTTTTGTACAAGAATACTTAAAATTTAAATGGATAACTGCATTTTCTTAGGAATTGCTGAGCTTCAGATTGTGGCCATTACTTAAAATTCAGTTCACAAGAGTGAACAGTGTGGTTCTGAAACCATCCATTGGATACTTTTAATTTCAACAACTCGGTTTTGCACTCTGGAGTTAGAAACTTGTTGGTTAAATTGAAGTCAGAACAGAAACTATTATATTATTATCAAAATTGCTAATTCATACTTTTCTAAAATACTGTGTCAGCTCCACCTAATTAAAATAATCAAATTTTTTTGAGAAGCATGACTTTATTCTGACCTGTATTATTTTAACTAGTCACTTGAGATATCTACAGAAAGAGTTTAGAATATCTGATCATTGGAGTATGTAGTTCTCATCTGAGTTCACAAATGCCTGTTACCTGCTTAAAAAGAATATCATTGGAGCGGTGATGATATGAGCTACTCTGGCTCCTGGTCACCATCTGTTCAGGGTCTGGTTAGTAGCATCCGTGTCTTTCTAAGCAAGTTTTCCAGTTTACTTACAAAGCTACACACTGATACCATCGCTGGAACTTGGCAACTGGAAAGTGGAAGAAAAAGAAAAGCTGTAGCCAATAGCATGACCAGGTTATATCATCGTAATTCAATGCCTGTCAGTAATAATCTCAAGATTCTTACTTGTATAACCTTTTCTGTTATCCTGTAGGTAAACCTGAAGAGGCCGTGTCCTTTCTGGAATGATATCAGCCAGTGTGGGCGAAGAGACTGTGCTGTCAGGCCTTGTCAGTCGGTAAGAACCACATATACATTTGAGGCACATTACATCGTTTTTCAAATAATTGCAATTCTTTTTTTTTTAAGATTTTATTTATTTATTTGTCAGAGAGAGAGTGAGCACAGGCAGGGGAACAGCAGGCAAAGGGAGAAGCAGACTCTCTGCTGAGCAGGGAGCCCCATGTGGGACTCGATCCCAGTATCATGACCTGAGCTGAAGGCAGACGTTTATTTTTTTTTAAGATTTATTTTATTTTATTTTATTGAGAGAGAGAGAGAGAGAGCATGAGAGAGAGGAGGGTCAGAGAGAGAAGCAGACCCCCTGCTGAGCAGGGAGCCC